TGTGTTGCATTGGCCAGAAATAAAATGCAAGGGCAAAAGTCAAGATGAGGAGAGATGATTGATTTGTATAGCTGTATTTAACTGGCAATAGTTAAATCGTTTTTCAGTCGACATAGAATTCCATACTTCTTAGCAATTTTCTTGATGAAATTGTCAATGTGAGAGTTGAACTTAAGTGTGTCATCAATAATCACGCCAAGATATTTAATCTCGTGAACGTGATCAATAGTCTCATTATCAATTACAACAGAGACGTTCTCATTTACTCGATTCCGCGAAATTACCATAAATTTAGTTTTACTTGAATTCAATTTCAACTGCTTATACTTCAACCATCTACTTAGAGAACGCAAATCTTCATTCAAGTGTAAAACGGCATCATCTAAATCCTTAGCTGCAATGAATAACACAGTATCATCTGCAAAAAGATTAATGTCGCAAAATCGTAAAACACGTCAAGTCATTAATATACATAATAAATAAAAGGGGCCTTAATACACTTCCCTGGGGCACTCCAAGGATATTCCTCACGGGACACGAAACAGAATCATTAAAAAACAGTCCATTGAGTTCTGTCAGATAAATAGCTTTCAAATCATTTATATGCAGTACTCGTAATACCAAAGCGCTTGATTGATCTTAACAATAAGGGCCTAGAAATTGTTTCAAAAGCGCATTAAAGATCAAAAAAAAAAACAGCAACAATCGTATCTTTACACTCCAAGTTATTTTTGCCACTTCGCTAATACCAAATTCAACGCGGTTTCACAAGAATGACCTTCCCGATATCCCGATTGTTCTGGTATCAACAAACTATTACTATTTAAATACTCCAACAGCTGGCCTTTAACAACAAGTTCTAAAGTATTCTCTAATGTGTGCAACATGTTGATGGGACGAAACTCTTTGGCTCTTTTGAATAGGGACCACTAAGGATTCCTTCCAAATTTGTGGCACATGTCCAGTTTGCAATGATTCATTAATAAGATCCAGCAATCTTGATTAACTGTAGCATTAACATTATCTACTCCAGCCGATTTTCCTAATGAAAAACAAACAACTCTACGTTCATCTAATGTAATTGGGTGAAAAACTTCAAATCTACAACTACTATTAACTGACCTTTTTATTTTGTCAGGTTCATCGACCAATGCAATGGATTGATTAATCAATGAAACACTGTCTACAAAATAATCATTAAACTTAGATGCAATTACTTGTTCTGACTGTTCTAATGTGCCATTAAAAGTTATGGACCGCGGTTTGCAATTACTAGGTTTTAATAAAGATTTCAAAATTTTCCATAACTCGTTCCTGTTGATCAATCATCCTTTGAACATATTCACAACGAGTTTTCTTTATCGATTGTGAATACGCGCGATTGTGTACCTATTCCAATGATTGCCATTATTTGATCTACAAAACTTTGTGTACCATTTGTCCCTTTTCCGTTTAAGACGCAAAAGATCCAAATTGTACCTCCTGTTCGAGTTCTTCAAAGAAACAAACTTTTGCTCAACTAGTTGATTAGTACACGTTTTCAAAGCGTTATTAAGAACAGCTGTAGATTCATCTAAGTTACCGGCCGCGAATGGAAAATCCACGCTCCTCTCAACAAGATTCGATACAGCTTGCTTCGAATATTTCCTCCAGCACTTCAATTTTACAAAATTATCGTTATCGTTAACATGGTCTAAGACATTAACCACTAATGTCTCATGATCGGCTATTTTCAAATCAGTATCCGTAACTGAACAAATGGAATCAAAATTGGAATAAACGTGGTCAATTAAAGTTCTACTGTGCCTGGAAATACGCGTATATTCATTTACCGTTTACTTTAAATTGAAAAAACTCAGCTAAACGCTTCAAATGATTCGAATTATGGTTATCACGCCAATTAATATTAAAATCACCAGCCAATATATTTAATTCACTAGAATCAAGGAATGTCTCGAGCCAGTTCTCTCTAAAACTTCAACAAAACGCTGGTCACTAGAACTGGGAGACTGATACAAAACACCATAATTACCCATCTTCATGTCATGTACAACTGTAATGCCGAAGAACCAGTTGCCATCAATAACTTCGTTGGTACGAAGGTTGAATTGAACTAATTATTTGACATAAATAGCAACACCGCCAGCGTGTCTAGAATGTGATAAACAAGCAGCAACAATATATCCCGGAATACTATACTGATCAAAAGCTTCGGTTTCTACAATATGAGTTTCAGATAATAAAACTAAAAGGGGACGTTTTTCCTCAACAATCTGACGTAATGCTACGTAGTTTGTTGACAACCAACCCTGCAATATCCAAATACAAAAAATCGAATTGATTCACATTCCTGGAACTTAGCTGCTATTTATTGAAACGCAAGCTGCTTTTCTTCTGATAAAAAAGTCTTTTATAGAGCAAACATTCCGAGCTAAATGCGGCATGGTTGACGTCCAAGTTCATTTTACGTTCTTTATTTATTTTCAAACAATTAATACATTTCAATACAGTTGACGTACACTCCGACGTTTTGTGTTGTTGGCTGCACCTAGAGCATCTCTCACTATTTTTGCAATCCATGTTCTTGTGCCCAAATTCAATATAAACTGTTGGTGCCAACGCGCATTATTTATGATCATCGGTTGTGATACCTGTTGGAGTTTTTTTTTATTAAGATTGATCATGTGGCGCCAATTCAAATAAGAATTTGATTTAATTCGTTTTTTCGTGTTGTGTGAACTTTTGGTGCCAGCTCGAATTATTTGAGCTCAATGGTCTTAATGTCCCAGGTCTTAATACCTGTTGTCGTCAATAATTGAAAATCGAGTATATGGACTGCTGGTTCCAACTTAAATTATTTTGGAGCTTCAGTGTCATCAACAGTTTACGTAACGTTTGCATTAAAAAAAAATGGACTATTTTCGAATGGTGATAAAAAAAGCTAAGACAGATAATTTCTATTGATAAATTTCCCATGGAAGGTAATTATTTAAGCTTACTTGCAAAACAAATTCTACGCCATTGCAAGCGGCCTTTTGGCAGTTAACCGGAACATTCGCCATGGCAGACGAAAACATGCGTGTAGGCATGTTTTTGAGTGCTTTCTTCGTTTTATTTATCAATTCCTCCTCAGTTTTCGCGACAAAATTGTTGGAGTAGATCTTACGCTTCAGGTTGGCCCAGAAATTCTCGATGGGACGCAGCTGCGGGACGTTGGGCGGGTTCGCCGACTTGGGTACCACATCGATATTCAGCCGCTCCATCTCCTACAACGATCGCTTCGAGTAGTGGGCCGACGCCAGATCCGCCCTTATGGTATTTCTTGATGAACAACGCAACATCCGGCAGGCATTTCGTACTATAAATTTCCCCGTTCACGGCCAGTCCGGAGCGAAAGAAGAGCGGCTTTGGCATCCCCTTCTCGCTGATTGTCAGCCACAGCAGCACCTTCTTGGGGAACTTGGTGTGTGAAATGAACTTCACCTCGGAGCTCACTTCCTTCGTGGGGGGAGTAAAATACGAAGTGCCCTGCCAGCCGTTGCCATCCAGGGTGAGATAGGTCTCGTCGTCCATCATCACCGCCACGTCGCGATTCGCCGGGAATAACGAGTTGACCATCTTATTCAGCCGCTGCCGCTGCGTCATTGCCAGCAGCTCCGAAACCAGTGGACGTGACTTCCGCTTCCTGGCATGTATGTATGTTCGCCAGGTACTTTTTCACTGTTTGGCCGGAGCTTCTTGTCGCATAGGGTTGTCGACCGTCCGGAACCGGGCTTTCTTTCGATGCTCTGATTGTTGTCTAATAGTGCCGAAATGTTGTAGATGCCGGAACGGGCGTATCCGGCGTCCACAAAGTGCCGCACGATGTCCGTTTTCAAAGCGGCGCACACCTCTGAACGGAGTTGCTTCACTGTTTTTGCCATCACGGTTAGAGTTCGACTGATAAAGCTGTCAAATTTTGTCTGCTGACTCATGGGTTACTATGATTGATGCTGCATGGGTAGTTTTGTCAGTGCGGGTAAGGTAAACCCATGAAAAATCGACAATTTTTGTCCAATTTTTTTAAATGCAAACGTTTTTGGGGTATTTCTCCAAAATTACTCACGGCCTTTGCTTAATCCAAACGATGCGCTGTGCTTTTCGCTCCCACTTTACTCTCTACCTATTATGCAACACTCCGTCAAAATCGTACAAAACCTATAAAGTACATCCGACTTAAATCATCAACTGTTATACTTCACATTTTTCGTTTATTTTGCACGTTCCATTCACGTCTTCATGTTCGATTAGAGAAAATGTGTTAAACCTGTTAAAACATAGATATAATATAACAATAGTGGAGAGAAAGCTGGTATAGTAGCAAATTCAGTTGATTTTATAAATTACTATAATAGAATCACTGCATTTGTCACTATTGGCGGAATCTTTCACTTCTGATGCTTAATTCACAAATACCTACACGAAACCAAAAAAAAAATCGTTTCTATGTTTCTTCCTTTCAATCACCATGATAGTAATATAAGATAAACCGAAATCGGACCACCTAGGTGCAGACCCTTCGATTGTATCTTGTATTAGCACTACCCTGTCTGAATATACCGTGCCGTTTTCAATACTTGTTTTCTTCGTGCAATTGACTGGTTCGCTTTCAAATAGTCTTTTTTTTTTCCTGCAATACTCTCTATGTTTTCTTCTAACTGTGTTTATTTTAACTATTTACTAGATTTGTTTTAATTTTCTTGAACATTGCTTTTGCTTTGAAATAGACTAATACTTTTTTTTTCCAATAAAAAAAAACTACTTACACCCGGTGTGTATTTCCATCGTCTTATAAATTCTCTTTCCCCTGCGCGTCAAAAGCCAAGCGTATGCATGCCTACGAACTGTTTCTCCCATTACTTATCTAACCATAGCCTTATACATATAATCTAGTGTACACACCCTTAATGCCAATTACGAAATCTCCAGACTAACCTTCCATCGGTTCGCTACCATTTCAGCTCAACCGTGGCCCATCCTTCGGAGCTGCCTCCCTCGCCGCACCAATGGGAATGACACAATGAAGCGATGGCTGCCTGAAATTTGTAAATTACTCATCACTTACAAGCAAAATTTGGAAATCAAAGAAGAAAAAAAAAACACATTTTGGACGAAACGTTAAGCAAAGTGTACTATAACACATGGAACAACAAACAACACTAGTAAATAGTAGACACTATCATGAATAGTGGACATCAACAATGCTGCCAAATCACCATCCCCCTCCCGCTCAAAACTTCTTTCGAAACAGGAGGAATGGAGAGACCCGGTGGATGGAGAGAGTGAACCCTTAGGCTAGAACGGCAACCAACAACCTCAACCAATTTCGGAGGACGAGACTTTCTTTTTCTTCTGTTCTGTGTCAGACGAATCTTCGAAGAAATATGTATATGGATAAGCTAGTCGATACAAATCAGAAAACACACAATAGGGACGGAGGCACGGGAAGGCTTTAACCTTCTGTTTCCCCCTGAATGCAGTTCATCACATCATTGTCAGGAAGATGACAGCAGCGAACATGTCGAGGAGGTGTGAATCGTATTTATACTTACCACGGAGTGATTTATCGTGTACGAAAAATAAATCTCCGCACTGCTGTGGAAATGAGAACGGGAAAAAGCTGGATGCAGCAGCAAGGATCTGCCAAACAACCGATTAACAGGTGAGAAAAGTGGGAGTACTGTGAGAAGTGCAACGGAGACTGTGTTGTAACGACGGCAGCATCGCAAAACGCAAAACTATACTCCCGTTTGCTTTCCTGATGTTACTCTGCAACAAATTAGGTTTGTGTAATGTATCATAGGAAGTGCTGTACGAGCAGTGCGATTCGGAAGAGCATAATTAATGGTGATGCAAAAAAAAAGAGGAAACGTTAACATCAAAGCTAACAGGAGTAGCATAAGTAAATGAAATTGTGGGGAAAAGCTAGATGGTAATGCTGGAAGATTTAAACTTTAGTAGACAATTTTTTAGTTGTATTTAGCAGACCACAATCGTGGAAGGAAGGCATAACAAAAAAAAAATGTATGTATGTAAGGAGTCAGTAACTATCTTCTGCTACTACTAGACTACACCAGTAAGATATGTTTGATGGAGCACAGTATGTTTAGGTGCAACTACTACCAGAAAGAGATGGTATAAGTGTGTGATAGTGTGACATTTCAAAGCATAATCGTTTGAAAGTTGTGTTCGTAGAATGAAAAATAAATGTACTGTATTAAGGTAGCTTCTGATGCGGGAGTGTCTTGATTGAACGGCAAGAGCTGAACTATTTCTCTATTGATTCAGTGGGTTGTTTAGCGGTAATTTCGTTGCAACGAACGTATTTTTATTTTGAAATCGAATCTATAAAGCCTTAAACGTGCTTAAGTATCTAACTGTGGCTTAAAGTGACTGGGAGTGATAGATAAAGTAAGCTTGTTTTGCTTAGAATTTAGGAACTCACAAACTCCATTACCGAGCAGAATCCGTTAATTTAGGTATAGCTTACTTTATCTATCCCTTCCATTCACTTTAACACTTGGCAATCCGGCATCCGATGTAACGGCAAACTTTCAATGTTTGAAACATCATGGCATGTCAGTATTGTGTCATCGCTTGTTTTTGTCGCTAAGGTTTTTCAGAGTTTTCCTAATGAATGTTTATCCCAATAGACCTCAGCCATTTGTGGACTACGAGCGCTTCCATTTGCTGTTGTTCTCGTTGCAAAATGAATACGTCGGTATCAGCGTTCTCCGAATCGTCTTCAGCATCAGAAATCGGAGGAAAATCAGTCTCTGAAAATATCGATATCGGATTTTGAGTATCGATACCGGATCCGATATCCAATATTCAATGGAAAATACATTAAACATATTTCATCCTCTTCCAACTTCATAATGCATTTGGAATATCAAAAACATCGGCATTACACAAACAAAAATATTCTATCCACTCTTCGAGCCAACATCGCTCAGAATTCGCCGTGTTTTCAAAACCAAACGCTCTCAAGGGACCGAGTTTGTAATATTTGACATAAGTTTCAGAGCCACCAGGAACAAATATGGAAATGTACTCTTCTTACTTGGCCTAAGTAAGATAAGTACTGTAAAATAGCATATGTCATTAGTTCGATACCACTCCTCGCGTACCTACATATCAATTTCTGTACGAAGTGAGCTGTCCACTTCGGTTATTATTGCGTTGAACCATGCCCTAGTGATAACTCCATACCAAATAAGCGCTAGAGATCTTTCTCAATGGTTCGTCACGAACAAATTCTTCGTTACCAGATCCTTCAACTAGAGATAGAACCATGTTGATGATTATTAACATCTGACCGATATCGAATTTCGATTATCGTTGAAATCGGATTCTTAAATATCGGTTATCATATCGATAATTTATACCCGATATTTATCGATAATATCGGACTTACCGATATCGTCACAGCACTACTTCCTCCCGTGTGATTTGTCTCCGATGAAAGCATGATTTTCAAACGCACTCAATTTAGCTCTGCAAAAATCTCACACCAGCTGGGATTTATTTAGCCGGATAAAGATCGCATCCTTAATTTCAAACAATCCCATTCGTTGCTCTACTACACGGTAAGAAAAATGTCCTCAAAAGTAAGTTCTTTTTACTCATCTCGGCACTATAGTGCAGGATCCCAAAAGTAGGTAAAGTGGGTCCAAAGTAGTTTTCATTTACTTGTGTGCAATTCGAATGGAATTTTCCACTCGCTTTCTGAAGAGATGAACTAGCCTTAGGCTAAAAATCTCTCTAATAAAGGAAAAAAAAAAAAAAAAAACACTCGCTTTCTACCAAAAAGTAAGTTAGTTGTACCCAAAAGTACACACTTAGAAATCATGGCATGTAAAATTAAGTGTCCTGACACTGAAACATATGCAACTCGACGAAAAGTGCGTTTAATTGAATTGATTTTCTTGTCCTTTTCAACTGATTCTTATGTCAAAAGGGCCGCTTGCATGTGGTCGGTCTCAGGGCAGTGAAATTTACATGTCTTTTTCGTAGTGTGTAGGTAAATATGATTATACTCAACGTTGCGTTCCCACACTTTACTACCCCTGTTGGGTGGTTTTGCTCCTCCGTTTTTGACAACATTAGAACGAGAAAAGGAGACAAACTAGTCAAAAGTAGGCAAAAGTGAACTGGCCGGTGGGTACTTTTTTCTTACCGTGTGGATCGAATACCACACGGAGAAGAAAAATTATCCAAAATTAAGTACTTTTCCCTCAATTCCCGGGTTCAGCCCAATAACCCAAATTTGAGTAAATCGCATATAGTAGATTCCATTTAACACCAGCAAAGAAAATTACTTACTCTTAAGTATATTCTACCCAAAATTAAGTTTAATACACGTAAATTTGAGAATATGCAATTTACTCAAAAGTAACTTATTGGGCTGAACTATATCGTTGGGTTGAATCTCTCGTTCCTTTTTTGACAACAATAAAGAGTACAAGTGAGAGGCTCAACTCAAAATTTGTAAAATGAACTAAAATTTTGGGTAATATTTTTTCTCCGTGCACACTCAGAAAATTTTTCACTCAGATGTTACATGAACACATACATAGATTTTTTTCCATCTTGTTTTTCACGTAAATTTTACGTTTATCATATGTAGATCGGTTCTAAAGTTTTAATTTCAATCCACATAAAACTGTAATAGGTAGTATAGGCCTTTGAAGTAAATTTCACTATATTTTCATGTAACATCTAAGTGAAAATTATTCAAAATGAAAAGATCTTTCCCCAATCCACTAAAATCCAACATAGATTTTATAGTACTTTCTAAGTGAATTTTATTACACTTTCACTTAAATTTTAGTAAATTTCTTCGCAGCATCCAAACTGTTGCTAGGCGTTAGGCGTAGGCCGCCCCGGCCAGCTGCACTTCCTCTGCCAATCTTTCGGGTGAGATGGTAAGGAAATCAAACTTGTCGATTCCTCGTTCTACAAAAATATACCCTAATAAACGGGTATCATACACAAACGATGTCATAGATGGTATGACAACACCACATAAAGTTGGGATGATATCTCGAATCGGTGGCTAGGCGCTTTTCATAGTTATTGGTTTATGCGGGTATGATTAGTAAATGGTGTATGATGACGAAAATAAAACAACTTACTTTTCAGAAAATTCAACAAATCCAATGGAATTTGAAAATCTAGCAACCGGTTGCCAGTAATGCACCGTTCGGACGCCATATTAGGTTTTGTTTATGCCATCACCACACATTTTCACACTATAAATTCATGTAGAATCAAAGTGAAATTATCTTACGTGAAATACACTTGAAATTTATATATATTTCATCATTTCACATTGCTTTTAATATGATTTGTAATGAATTTTATTAACGTCATGTACTTTTCAGATAATTTATAATATCTGAAGGTTACGTGTTTTTTTCCAGTGAAATTTATGTGAAATTTTTTTGAGAGCAGTTTTACGTTGCTATCTGAGTACTGCGAACTCAGCCGATTTTATGTTTCAAGTGAGCTAGAAAACATTTTGAAAATCTTCCGAAGTTTCAAATTGTTTTGCTGAAACAGCTCACGAAATTGTATATACGTCAAATGAACTCTTGGCTCCTCCTCCTCTGCTCCAGAAATGACGTATACATGGTGATGGGAGTGCACCTGCCCACAAATCTCACATGACTCTTGTAAAGTTTGATTACATTCTTGTTTCAGCAACCCAGTTTTGGCATTATTAATATCAAATAAAAACACTTTTTCGAGCATCACGCTCGATGATTTACATTATCCGCCTACTAAGGTTGATGTTTCGACAGTTTCATAATTATAATTCTTAATTTTTTTTCAGTAGGTAGCAACACCTTTACTTGTGGTTCAAACAGTAACTACCTACGTGACTTCTGAAGTTCTGAGCTCTTTTGAATATTTGGCTCCCGTTTGACAGTTTGACTCGGCTCTCAGATGACAAGCATTTTGAGTTAGTTCGCAGTACTCAGGTTGCTATGCCTGCCAAACAACTTCTTTTTCTGTATTTGATAATTTGAAACTACACGCAGGCAAAAGAACGTAAGAATTCCATAAGAAAC